AAAGCAAAAGAACTACAAGGCATGGAAGTGTTTAGAATAAAGAGGGAGAAGAAAGGGAAGAAGGCAGCATCCTGACATAGCCCTTTCCTTCAGCTGCCCCTTTCCCTGTGGTCCAAGGTAGAAATGGGAAACAAGTCCTGTTGCAGTGAGAGGGCAGCTGCTGTCAGCCAGTCTCTGTCTTTACCTGGGTCCCAATCTGAGCTGGGCGTGGGAAGCGAAGCAGCCATGGGGGCAGGAGACCTCCCTCAGAAGGGGTGAGGGTTCAGGCCTCTGAAAAGTTGGGGGGGTGAGGGTCTGTGCCCCACCTCTGTTGACCCTCAAATTGTCTCCTGATGGCCCCTCTGCGACTGTGCCTGTCTTAGGTTGTTCCTTCCCTGAGGAATCTTACCCATCTCTGGCTAACCAGCCATCCTCCGGGGCCAAGCAGGGTGATGTGAGGTGTGTAAATGAGGGAGGGGCAGCGCCCCCCTGCAAGAGATTCAGTTCTGTCTCCTTGATAGCCTATGCCCCCATGGCCTCCACGCCCAGCACCTGCCTTGGGCTCCCCTCGCCTGCAAATGGACTGTGAGAAGAGGGTCCCTCTTGACACAAGGGCAAGAGGGGCCAATACAGGACAATGGAGGAACGGCCTGTCAGCATGTAGTCCCGGGACAGGGCTTTCTCAGCTTAGGATGTCAGGCTCTTGGAACAAGACAACTCCACATATGGGGCATATACCAGACACCCCCTAGTCATGGCAGAAAAGGGAGGTGCCCTTCCTGGAACAGTAGAGTAGAGAGATTCTAGAAAAGGCTGTGTTCAGGAATGAAGGAGAAAGGCCAAAGAACCAGCAAACAAGTAGTCAGATTAAAAAAAAAAGAGGAAAGGAGATGTGGGGCAAAGCTGGGACATATGGACAGACAAAAAGGAGACACATGTGATCCTCCCAATGGACAGGTTGTTCCAGCTCAGGGCTGCACAACTGCTGCAGACGGGCACTGGTCAGGTATGCTAGGGTGAGGCGGAGACGGAGGGCGGTGAGACATAAGGTCGGACTAGACAGTCTGGAATCCACACAGGTGAGTCTGCGTCCTGTGGAAATATACAAGCATATCCTCTCCCCCAGGTTAAAAGTACATCAGGTCCCTTCCAAGTCTCTCCATTTGACGAGGGCTTTAGGTTTAGTTAGATCAGGGTTCCAACGTCTGTACATCGGGGAATTTCCCTCAGAATCTACATTTAGTATATTACAAATAGAGTATGTTGTAGAACATGATGAGGAGAGAAATATTTAAACTCATTTTCTTGTAATTTTTTCTAACAGGAGTAAATCAAACACCGCTGGGGCTATATAATAGAACTCCCATTTGAGACAAGATATCTCTTCCCCATAATGTAAAGGGGATAATTGTAATTACATAGGGACAGAATGTTCCTGAATTGTGTGGTGCGGCTACAGTGTTTTGGCCAGGTTCAAGCCTTGGACCAATGAAAGGACAGGGTCCTCTCATTGCCACCTGCAAGTCCCAGCTGGAGGGCAGGGCCTTCCCAGCACAATCATAGCCAACGGCTGTGGTTGTGAGCTTGAACCTATGGTCTGAACACGTGACCCCACGTGCCTTGTGATAGAGTTCGGGTGCATATAGTCGAGGTTGGAACTCACGAGAATGCTGTCAACAACGTGATCACGCCCCTACTTTGCCTCGTGGCATCTGCTATAAAATAAAGACACGGCTTGTGGGCGCTGGCGCTGTCTCCTCATCAGGGAGCAGCGTCCCACCGAGACCCAGCTTTAATTCTCTTGTCTGTCCTTTCTCAATCCTTTCACCCTCCCCACTCAGGGTCACTGAACCAGGCTGAGCTGGCATGGCACATAAGGCGCCCTGGGGCTGAGTATGCCATGGCCGTGCCGGCTCCCCACACTGAATGTTGATCTTCATCAGCCCAAGTTAAAATCTGAGAACTCTTTTTTACATTAGATGCCTTGCCTAGTCCTACTAGGGAAGTGGAGGTGGTGTGCGTGGGCCATGAAGAGGGCCAATCCTTCCCTGCTATGCAGGAAACATCTGCTCCTGTATCCAAGACCTTCAATTGGTTTTCCCTGAATTTGTAAAATTTTTGTAGGTCTAGCAGCATGGATTTCTTGTATCCAAAATGCTGCATCACTAGATCCAAAGCCTCCGGCCCCTCTGGCTTCCTGGGTAACAGCTGTCCCTATTTTATATATTGGTAACGGGAGTAATTGGGCAGTTCTCTGGTTGGGCTGAATCTGTACAGTTGTGGTGGGTGGGGAAAGTAAAATCTGTATTTCTCCTGTGTAGTCTGCATCAACAACTCCTGGGATGACTAAGATCCCCTGTAATGAGGTGGAGCTCCGTCCTAATATTAAACCTACAGTTCTCTCAGGCAGCGGCCCGGACACTCCTGTAGGAATGGCTGCTACCGGCCAGTCTGGGGTTAGTATTGCATGGGTGGTTGAATGGAGGTCCAATCCTGCACTGCCTGGGGTTGCCCTGAAGAGGTCATTGACTGACTGAAATTTGCAGAGGGGTTGAGGGTTGATACCCCTATTATTGCAGGGGCCTGGGGCTGGCCCCCTCTCAAGTTTCCCAATTGAGGTGATGGGATAGAACCTCCTTGGGAGCAGTTTGTAGAATTTAAAGGCCGACCATTTTTATGGTATTTTGATCTACATTCCTTTGCCCAATGGAATCCTTCCTGACATTGGGGACAAACAGTTTTTGGAGGATTAATATTATTCCCTGATGTATTTCTAGGCTGTCGAGGAGCTTGCCATCTGACTATTATTATTTGTATTTGGGCATTCTTTGCTAAAGTGCCCAGATAAGCCACAAGAGTAGCAGTTCATATTTCTTTTATTACCTGTATTATTGCTGGCTTGTCCTATGCCCTGTACATATTGAGGGTATGTCTCCACCTTGAGGGCTGCAGCTATAGCTACACCCTGTATAAAAGCTGGACTTACATTGGCACAGTTTTATAAAATCATTTATAGTTCCTGTTCTGCAAATTGGCCTTAATAAAGCCTGACAGGTATTATTAGCATTTTCAAAAGCCAGTTGTTTGATTAGGCTATCGGCTGCCTCTTCATTAGTGATTACTCTCTTGACTGCCTGTACGAGGCCAGAAAGGAAATCCTGATACGGTTCCTTGACCTTCTGTTTAACCTCTGTATGGGTGGTTGTTTTTCCTACTGCACAAGGTAGGGATTTCCAGGCATTTACTGCACAACTGGTTACTTTAATAAGTGCCTCTTTGGGCATATACATTTGCTCCTGAGCCGTGATAAAATCACCTCCTAATATCATGTCTAGGGTTATTCCTCCTCTGGAATTTTTGCTAGTGGCTACAGCTCTCTTAGCAAGATCATCATACTCAGTTTTCCATAACAAGTAATAGCCTCCTGAGAGACAGGCTTTACAAACCTGTGACCAATCATAAGGAGTCATCCATTTACTGGCTAGGGCTTCTACCAAGGTTTGTGTGTAAGGAGCTAGAGGTCCATATTCAGAGCAGGCCAATTTTAATTCTTTAAATATTTTGTAAGGTATAGGCTCCCACGTGGGGTTTTCGTCCCCCTCACTCTCATACATGACTGGGAAGCAGAGTGAGAATTCAAGATCTTCATTAGCTTCAGCTTCTCTTATCGCTCTTTGAAATTTAGACATGGAGCTCACAGGAGCCAGAGGACCTGGTTTAGTCTTCCTTCCTAATTTAGGGAGCCTGTTTTGAATGGGAGGGCTTTTCTCCTCTCTACTGACTGGAAAGGACCAAGGGTCATGTTTATGATATTTAGTCTCCTTCCGATCAGTAGGCATAGCTAAATTGCTCTTAGATTGAGCTGGAGACAATAATGATGTGTCCTCTCTAGGTGGAGACGGACTATTTAAAGTTTGAGAAAGTTCAACCATTTCTGCCTCTGGTGCCAAAGTGTCACGAATTAAATTCCAGAGGGAAAGGGCATGAAAGGGCATCTGCCCGGACCTTCTCAGATCCATGGAATCTATAATAAGTCTTTAATTGCTCTCCTACTTTAGTCCAAGTTTCTAAATTAACAGTTCCTTCCTCAGGAAGCCATGGACATACTTCTTGTATAAAACTTTCTGTTTGACTAGGAGTAACCTTAACTCCTCTGCTAGCAAGCATATGTGTTAAAAGATTATAATAGAGTCTTTTTTCTTTAGACTCAGTATGACCCATCTTCTCAATCCAAGTTCTGTACTATCCACCCTCTTACCCTACTTATCCTCTATAAGGGGGTCTGCAGCACCCTACGGTGCAGTCCTATCTGTCCCAAGTGCGGGGGGTGCTTACCTGAGGGGTCCCTGTTCGGGTGCCAATTGTTGGGGTCCAACCCCAGCAGGTCCAGGGGTTTCCAAAGGTGTGGACGGAGTCAGCAAAGTATAAATGACACGGAGACAGCGTTCACTTGATCAGCAGCCTAGCCAGGTTACTTAGCCAGGTTCTAGCCAGGATCTCCAGCCAAGTTCTGTGTTTTATTATTTATTTATTTATTTTTAGAATTTTTGTGAGTTTATTTGAGCCAAACTGTGGACATATGCCAGGAAGCAGAACCTCAAGGAATTGAGATAACGCTCCGGGAGAATGGCGGGGTTACATTTGTATTTATACATTTGCAATCAAAGGAGGGACATAGGTGAGTTACATAAAATTCATTGGTGACAGATTAAGGAGGAGGGATAAAGCAAAGCAGGGAAATCCCTGGGATTGGATAGAAGTAAAATGATGGACACATACTTAGGTGGGTGCAGGATCAATTAACATAACAATGAAGGAATTTGTGTTATCTGTCCTGGCGCCCAGCACATTTGGTTGTGCCTCAGGGGCTCCAGAAAAAGGGAAGTTACAAGTTACCCAGACATTTCAAGGGTGTGTTATCATAGATGCAAAAAGACAGATAGGCTCAGTTAAGGAAAAGGCTGACCTTGTCAGTGAAGATACTGATCTAGGACTTAACTGCCCACCATAACTGCTTTGAGTTAAAGTTTAATTTCAGACCATCCTCTGTGGTTACTTTAAGTCTCTGAGTTTGTAAGACTGCCATGCAGGCCTCCCCTGAGCTTGTCAGGTCAGCATGTGGCCCCTTTCGTTCACAATTACCTTCTCTCCATTAAGAGGTCCATAAAAAGGAGCCAACTGAGATCCGTGAGGGGAGTCAGCAGAAGCCATGTTTGTTTTCCCCACCCCCTGTGAAGGGTTTTGCTGAGGGGCCACTGCTAGGTCCCCACTTGCTCCCCTCCCTTTGGCCTGAGATGGCAGGGCAGTACAGGGGCTTCGAAGGAGCAGGTCACGACTCCTCATTCCCAGAATCATCATGGTCATCACAGTCGGCATCTTCCTCCTCCTCCTCTTCATCCTCAATGTCAAGGTCGTACAAGTCGTCATAAAGCCAATCTGAGCTGTTGTCATTGGAAGGCACTTTAGTTTTGATGCAATATTCCGCCAGGGTCGTGGGGACTTTCACTCCATCCTTTTCTGCTTCGGCTTTAGTGGCTGAAACCTGTTTTCTAATGATTTCAGTATATTCTTTGTCTTTTCCTTTACTGTCCCTCCATTTCCTGAACATAACTGAAGCATCCGCATTGGCTGCGGAGAAGATGTTGGGCTCATTAAGCAATGAGATTACACTTAGCAGGATAGTCCTGACATTCTGAGTAGGATTCCACCTTTCGGAGTTCAGTTGACCACTCTGTGGGGCATCTACGGGTGGATGAAGAATTGAAATGCATACATGTCCACTCTCATAAATGTTGGGGTGCCACATTTTGGTCAAGAATCTGAAGGTAGGTGGTGAATATGGGTAGTCAATAGGAAATTTAATATGCGCCTTGAAGTAGCCGCCTTCGTAGAGGGTGTTGGGGGGTCCGAAGATGGCAACCTCCCAGTTGTAGAGGTCGGACTCATCCACCAGGGTGATCCGGGAGCCCTCCACCGGCTCCTCCTGCAGGGACTTGAGCTCCAGCATCAGGGCCTTCTGGGAGCTGGCCATCACGGCGGCAGCGGCAGTGGCAGCTGAGCCTCACACACGACGCGGGCGGGGCAAGGCCAGGCCTTCTCCTCACACGGTGGCCAGGTGCAGGTAGAGGGTGAAGGAGTTGGGGGAATTTACTCTGGGTCCTCCCCGCACCGGAGGGCCTCCACTTGCGGGGGAGAGGAGAAAAGGTGGAAGCGGAGAAAGGCGGCAGAGGGCCGGCGATGGTGAGGAGAGGGGGCCAGGCCGGCCCGGGAGCGCCGCTCTTGCTCGCTCACTCGCCCTCTCGTTCTTCTCTGGGGCCGCTGTTTCTCTTTAGAATAGTGCAAACGGGCAATCGTGCACTCACCTAAGGAGCAGATCCAGGGCTTTCCGTAGCAGGAAAAATAGGAAGAGGTCAGCTCAAGGCTCAAACCTTGATGTGTGGTTGCAGTCTCTTCCAGAAGTCTCCCCAGCCAGGCGAGTTCCCAAGACACTCTTCTGGAGAAGGTTCCAAGTTCTGTGTTTTATTGTCTTGTTACATCTGTATTTATACCAGTTGATTTTAATCCTATTATTTCTATTCCAAAGGTTAGGGCGTTTCTTATCTCCATTCCAGGGAGTAAAGATTATGTAGCTTAAGCGTGATTGTTCATAGTTAAAGTGATTAACTACCCACCTGGCACTTAGTTAAGGGGTTTTATTCTCTCCCTAACTTCAGGGAAAAATCCCTACCTGGGGAAACAACCTTTCTTGGAGAGGTGACCTTGGTTAAAACACATAGCGCCAAGAAGGGGAGCAAACATATTAAGAACAGTATGCCATATATGCCAGGTCCCTTGAAACATATGCTGTGCAGATGTTCCTTCCCTGCAGCGATTGTGTCAAGCAGCAAGGATGGACCGGCTTCCGGCACTTTTTCTTCTATTTTCTTCCTTGCTCAGAGTTTGCTGTGGGTCTAATGACTCTCTGGGCAGTTTTCTTCCACATGATGGCTCAGCATTCCAGGCTCTTTTATCTTAGACATCTACACCTCAACAAATGATAACCTGGAACAAAGAAAGTTAAAAAAAAAAAAAAAGGTAACAAAGAGAATTGTGTGCCTTCTCTTAGATATTTCCATCCAGAAGCAATATGTGTAACTTTCACTCACATTTCAGAGGCTAAAGTAAGTGCCATAGCCATGCCTAACTTCAAGGATGTGGACAAAGTCCTCTCAAATGTCTAGGTCAGAAAGGAGTGCTGAAAGTATTGGTAAGCTCCAATGTTGACAATGCTATTTTACATTAAAAAAGTCATGCCCTCACCCCCCTACTGTCCGTGTCCATTGTTATGCTTATATGCATGCATACAAGTCCTTTGGTTGCTCTCTTATCCCTCCTCCCCCTCAGCTGCCTTCCCTCTGAGATTTGACAGTCTGTTCAATGTTTCTATGTCTCTGGATCTATTTTTGTTCATCAGTTTAGGTTGTTCATTATATTCCACAAATAAGTGAAATCACATATACTTATCCTTCTCTGACTAGCTTATTTCACTTAGCACAGTGCTCTCCAGGTCCATCCATGCTGTTTTGAATAGTAAGAGTTCTTTCTTTTTACAGCCATGTAGTATTCCATTGTGTAGATGTACCACAGTATTTTAATCCACTCATCTGCTGACAGGCACTTGAGCTGTTTCCAAATCTTAGCTATTGTAAATTGTGCTGCTATGAACATAGGGGTGTATATATCCTTTCTGATTGGTGTTTCTGATTTCTTGGGATATATTCCTAGAAGTGGGATTACTGGGTCAAATGGTTCTATTTTTAATTTTTTGAGGAAACACCATACTGCTTTCCACAGTGGCTGAACCAGTCTGCATTCCCACCAGCAGTGCATGAGGGTTCCTTTTATTCCACATCCTCACCAGTACTCGTTTGTTGATTTGTTGATGATAGTCATTCTGACAGGTGTGGGGGGGTGGGAGTGGCTGAGGAGAGGTCAATGGGGGGAAAAGGAAACATATGTAATACTTTCAACAATAAAAAATTTAAATTTTTTAAAAAATTAAAAACTTCAGTACTGGCTGGTGTGTCTCAGTTGGTTGGAGCACTCTTCCATACACCAAAAGGCTGCACGTGTGGGAGTCAACCCATTGGTGTTTCTCTCTCATGTTGATGATTCATTCTCTCTCTCTCTCTCTCGCTCCCCCTCCCTCTCTAAAATCAATTTTAAAAAATAAAACATAAAAAAACCTTCAAGTCTGTATCAAAGAATGGGGCTGAAGTTATGAACAGAGGTGGAACTTTGGCCACCAATAAGCAAACCCCCATGCCTGCCCTGCTTCCATTCATGTTGTGTTTTGTATGTTGGGGGAGGTGGAGTTAAAAAATCCCGAGTTTAGATATGTCAAAGTCAAGATACTTCCATCTAAGTGGAGTGTCAAATAAGTAGTTAAATCAGAAGGTCAGAGGACAGGCCTGGGCTGGAGATTTAATCTGGGAGACTAAATGCATATCTACAGTTGGATATGAGAGTGTGAAGCCCAAGAGTGGTCCAGCCTGGTGGTTAGGGATAAGAAAATGTGGAGAGGATAATTAGAAGGCAGTTGTGGACAGAACCCTGCTGACAACCAAAATTAAGGGGAGGGGTTCTAAAAAGGAGACTGAAGAGGAACAGAGAGGAAGGGGGAGAATTAAGAGAGAGTGAAATTGTTTAAACTAAGGGAAAAGAGCTTTAAACGCTGTGTTTCTGCTCTTATCAAAGCAAACCCCTGTCCTCGTGCTCTGGATCCTGCCCCTTTTGTTGTCAGTTCCTCTCTCTTGGGTGGCCTTTCTAAACGCTGTCACATTACAAAGCTTTAGGCACACGGGTGTCCTTTCATGGCTCCAACGTCCCAAGTCCTTCAGTGCCTGTGCACTTACTCTTCCTTCTGCCTGGCAGGCTTTCCCCCAAGTTTTCTAACAATTAACTCTTTGTAAGTCTCAGCTTAAATGTCATCTTCCCAAAGAGGCCTTCTTTGATCACACTATGTAAAGCAGTTCTCCATCCCCACCTGGTGCCATGGGTGCTTGTCTTAGTCCATTCAGGCTGCTATTTAAAAAATGCCATAAGCTCAGTGGCTTATAAACAACAAACATTTATTTTTCACAGTTATGGAGGCTGGAAAGTCAGACTATGGCTCTGACAGTTTGGGTATCTAGTGAGGATCTACTTTTTGGCTCACAGAAGATGCATTTTCACTGTGTCTTTACACGGTGGAAGGGGGCAAGGGATCTGTGAGAGGTCCCTTGAAAGTACACTGTGAGTCTCCACCCCACTACAAAAAAGCTACAAGATATAAGGAAAGCTTAATTGGGGGAGAGGTGGAGTTTAGGAGCGTAAGGAGTGGTCATTTCCTCCTAAAGTATTACATTTTCAGCAATTGTAAGATAGTATGTTGGTAACAGAGTTGTTAATAATATGATGTAAGTAACATTTGAGCAAGCAGTCTGAAATTCAATTGCAGTGCAAGCAGGGAAGCTAATCAAAGGTTGGCATTTTTATAAGTGCTTGCTGCCCCACCAAAGCTGTGGGGCTCAGCATCCCCCTTGCTCTGGCCCCAGGCCAGATAACTCTGATGTCATAACCTGGCTACACCTTTGAGGCAGGACCTCCTCTATCTATATGTCACAGTGCCTAGGACAGTGTCAAACACATAGTAAGTGCCTAGAACGGTGTCAAACACATAGTAGGTGCTCAATAATTATTGAATAAACATTAACACTTGCACATGCTGCAGAGAGCTTAGATTCAGGCTGAAAATCACACGATTTTAACATGGAGAAGTTCACTGGTAACCTCAGTGGGGCCATTTGCAGTTGGGTATTGGCAAAATGGCCAGAGTGCAGGGAGGGAATAGGAAGAGAAGAGAGGAAGTGTAGCCAGGGAGACTGCTCTTTCTAGAAGTTTGGTTGTGAAAGGAAAAAAGAACAGGACAGTAATTACAAGATGCAAAATGACAAGAGAGAGTTTTGTTTTGTTTTAAAAGGTAGCAACTTCAACTTTTATATATATATTTCATGAGAATAGAACCAGTAATGAAAGAATGGAACATGTATGGGAGGGAATAGATAACTGATGGTGTATAGACAAGAGCAAAGTTAGCACATATAAGACAAAGAATTCCCTTTCCTCTGGGATAGCAAAGAAGTAAGGATAGGTTGGGGTGGGGGGTAGGAAGCTGAAGGAATGGGCTTGCCACTGGCCGTTATTTTCTTTCTAAACAGAAAGCTCAGAAGTAATTGTTCTTTTCAATTTCTCCTCTTAACCAACTTAATTCTGCTCCACATTTGTTCCATCCCCGCTTCACTTTTGACGTTATGCTTTGTCTGTCAACTACTCCCTGTTCTGGATCCACCTGCAGCCCCTAGACCTTCTCTGGATTAGTGTATTAACATGGCCAGTCTTCTGGAACTACCCTGTCCTTTAATACCAAATGACAAAGTCTTCCATCCTGTGAAATTGGAGGATTTCCAGGCTTTTATTTGATTTTTCTAAGTATTAACGAGGATTCCCATGGAATCTCACATTTCACACACTTCATCACCTTACTTCTGTAATTTGGTTCCAATTGGTGTAATAATCCAGCCCAAAGATGGACACAAACTTCTCCTGTAACTCCCTAAAATAGAACATATTTTAAACAAGATTTTAAAAAAATATTTTTTTATTGATTTTAGAGAAAAAGGGAGAGGGAAAGAGAGATAAAAACATCAATGATGAGAGAGAATCATTGATTGGCTGCCTTCTGTATGCCCCACAGTGGGGATCTAGCCCACAACCCTGGCATGTGCCCTGACTGGGAATCAAATCGTGACCTCCTGGTTCATAGGTCGATGCTCAACCCCTGAACCATGCTGGCTGGGCTAAACAAGATTTTATTTGAAGATTTAGGGATAATAGAAATGGATAACAAGAAAGAAAAGTAAAAAAAAAGAATTGAAATGTCCAGCCCATTCTGTTCTTGCTCTATCTTAAGATCATTTTCTCAGATGTCAGAAAAGCCTATCTAATAGCAAAAACACTATTGATTTTCCTTACCACATAAAAAACTTGCTAAAAACCCTCCCTATCTGAACTTTTCTGCACTTCCAACCAAGTTTCTGTCTCTCTGTCAGCTGTCTGTTTCTTTGTCCATCCCTGCAAAAGTTTTCTCCCACAGCACACAAAAATCTCTAGCCTTCCACAGGGCCTTCTCCAAGTCACACCCTGCTCAGCAAAACAAAGCTGGAGGAACACATTTCTGGGAAACAAAAGCCCCAGTTGTTAGTTAAACCTGACCAAGCATCACGCCACCACACCCAATGCTAAACAGGAGGGCTTCTCAAAGTCTCTCTGCAGAGAAATCTCCTCCGGTCTGGGAATCAAACCTGAACCCGTTTGACTTGTAATTGTTTTAGATATGCTTTTGGTAATTATTATGGATCAAATACTTAGTTTGTGGGTCACATATATTTATATCTATATATGCACATTGTCTTGTTACCACTGCAGTTCTATTTCTGCCTCTTCATATGACTTCCAAACTTTTGGTGGAATACAGCATACCCTATTAAGTGGGAGCTGGTGCCACCTA